AGCAACACTTTTATATAAAGAAGGTAAACAGGTAACAATGCTTTCATCTTTCAGGAAATTTAAAACTATCTTTGATGGAAAACGTGAAATTATAGAAAGTGATGAAACAATGAAATTTACCAAGCCTCATATTGGTATATCTGATGCTTGATTAACAAGAACTATAATGAATACATTTAAAACAGGAATATATTCTGAACAATACCAAACAAAATTAACCTATCCATCAAATAATGCTGTCATAGAATTTATAAGATATTTTATTAGAATGACTTGCTATTTCTTTAAATTTCAACATATGAGTTTTTCCCAAATGAATCATATAATTCATTTATTAAATATGACTAAATTTGATATTAAAAGAAATATGGACTTTATGAAAGAAATTACATGGATAAATTGAAGAGATAATTTTGGACCAGTCAGAAATAAATTAACTCCTGTCAGAAAAACCCAATTATTTCCTAAACAACTTTTAACTAATATATTGGAATCTAATCTATTCCCTCAATTTAAAACGGATGAGTTCTTACACTTATTTAAGAAAACATTTGATAACTTTGATCTTGAGATATAATAATTACTTTACTATGACCCTATTAACTAGTAGTTTTGAAATTACCTAAATTAATATTATAAGAAACCAAACTTTAAAACTATAACCTTATCTTTCTATTAAAGTAAAGATAGCATGTTGGGTGCACCCGACTGAGGCGATATTCCAACATTTAAGAGAAGTTAGACAACATCAACAATAGTATGGTAAGATCTCCGGTTGATTGTTAGGTAATAGAAAGCGGACCAAGTACTATATGAAAAGGTTTAAAAATCGTACCTAACTCTTTGGTTATGAAAAATAAGGGTTTATTTTTTTAGCCCGGTAAGGAAGATACCGACTTGTTCCAGCTTTTATTATTATTATTATTAATATCACGCTATTTTATTATTGATTTTGTTTAATTATGAATTTAATTATTTGAGACTTTCTATAAGATGATAGAACCTTTCGATTGCTAATTTAGGGGCGATATTTGCTTTACAATATCCCTATACAAGCCAGTTTTTTGTTAAATAAGGAAAAGTCGCCATTGGTAAGGCAAAATATTTGCTAAATATTGTACTTTGTACTGAGATGTTCAATTCATCTCTTTTCCGATAGCGGATTAGTGTAGTAGAAACACAATTGGCTCATGTCCAGTAAAGAAGAGTGCAATTCTCTTGTCCGCATAAATGTTTGTTATTTAATTGTAAAATCTTTAAATCTTAGAATTATTCGAATCTTGTATGGTTGTCTAAGATGCTGAAGATTAAGATATTAGAAGAAATATAGTATTCGAATTATTGTAACCAATTAGCGGTGGTAATTAAATTTTGGGATTAAACACCTAATGTTATGCTATCGAGGCACTGATAGTCCATATTTACTCGTATGATTGTAACAATAATAAAGTAAAAGAAATGAATAGTCTTTGAGGATAGTTTATTAGAGTAGGTATTTAAATTCTTCCTTATTAATAATTAAAAGAATCAGGTGGAACCTTTTGACTAGGCGGTAACTGAATCTATATAGTTTTCGATATAGAATAAGATAACTTTAAATGTGGAGAATGTTTAAAGGATGGGAACAGTTTTTAATCCTAGGTAAATCTTTTAATAAGCAAAGAGTGATGAATCCTTTAAATCGTAGGAAACCATAAACTGTTGTTAGTACCAAAAACTGATAATAAAAAAACAAAATGAAAAACAAATTACTTTTGGTCCCTTATGTCGAACCTTCACTAGCTTTAGTTCCTTTAAATAAAATACAAATTACAAATTTAGAAAGTAAAGTTAATATTATTAATATAAATTATTTAGAAATTATTAATGAGTTTAACATGAGTATAAAATATCAAATGCCTAAAGGATGAGGATTAATACCGACATTTGATAGTTATATTAAAGTTACTGATAATATTCTTGAAAGATTTAATAATTATAAATTTAATAATATGACTGAATTAGGTAAAATAATTATGGATTTACTTGATATCAAGAAAACTTTAGAAAGTATAAATATTAAAAAAGGTTATGTTACTAACACTGATTTCCGTAATCATGAAAAATATCCAATAATTTCAGAAGTCTTTAATAAACTAGTTTCACCAGGACAGTGGGCTAAGATAGACAATTATCAAAAAGGATCTATGTATAAATGAATTGCAAATCTTATATTACTAAATATAATACTGATATGTGAAAGAGCTTGTAAAAAACTTGAAAATTATGCAAACTTAGTTACTTCAAATATACAAACTCAATATGATAGTTACATGGCAACTTTCAATACATTATCTGCTTGAAGTGGTGATTTTGTAGATTTATCCATTAGACAGTTTATGCGAAAAAGTAATTTAAGAATTCAAAGTGACATTTGTACTGGGTTTGATACAGAATATGTTCACCTTGATTATTATAAAAATACTTTATTATCAGCACAAATATCTGTTACTGGTTATCTGAAATTATTTGTTCCTATTAGAAAGGATTTTGAATTCGAAGGTGTTAACACTTTAACTGCAGAAACATATATGAAAACAGCACCAAAATTCGAATACATAGAATCAGTGAAACATTTTGTAAATGCTAAAATTATTGAGTATCGAGAGCTTAAATTTAAACATGATGATAGAATGATTCAAATATGTAATTATTTAATTAATAATAGTGATTTTATCGACAGCTTTAATCGTAATGATAGAGGTTATATATTCCAATTCAAAAAACTTCCTATTGTAAACAAATTTATTGTTGGAAAGGAAGGTGAACAATTAAAACTTAGTTTAAAAACATTAATGCATATAATAAATGAAAGTGTTAGAGATAGTTTAAAATCTGAACAAGTGAAGTTAATTAACTTAATTAATAGAATTACTAAAGAAACAATTACTAAAGAACCTATTTTAAATGAAGTAAAAGCAACTCAACCATGAAATAATGATAGTTTAATTTCTAAACCAATTGCTAAAATTGTATTATCAAATGAAGAGAATGAATTATTTAAACAAAAAGAAGTTTGTTTTGATAATGAAGTACTTGTTACAAATTATTTAACAATAAATGTTTTAAATAATCACTATCTTTATGCACACTTTAATGCTGCTGATTTGGGTATGTTGAACGATTGGAAAAAATATTTAGATAGGAATGTTGATATTCTTAAAAAATGTTTCACTTCTTTATCAAAACCTGTTGATGTTGATGGTTTTAAACTTTATTTAAGAGATACTAAATTATTAAGTTCAGCTGCAGCTGGTACACTGGAAGCAATCGGTAAAGCTCATGGCTTTAACAAAACAAATATTGTTTTTGATGATAGAAAACTTGAGTATTGAAAAGAAAATATGGATGTATTATTAAAAGAAAATCCTATCCTTTTCCAAGAATACGCAATGAATGATTCTTTAATTACTATCATTCATGCCTTGTTTATTAATGATTTTTCTTTCAGATTAGGATCTTTATCTAATCCCAATACTTTAGGATCTTTAGCTAATACCTATCTTCGTAACAAATGGAAAAAGGATAAATATCGTGGATACCAAATTGATAATAAATATCCTTTAGGTGACCCCCAAACATCTGTTACACCTAAAGGTATTAATGCTTTAGGATCAGTGGGAGATTACTTAAACATGTTCATAGGATCTTTCAGAGGTGGTCGTAATGAGTGCTTCGCTTATGGAGTTGATACTGAAACTAGATGATATGATTATGACCTAACTTCGTGTTATGCGACTATCATGTCTCTATGTGGAAACCCGAATTACGAAGTCGATGAAACACAATATTTATCTAATTTATTTACTGATATCTCTCCTTTATGTGGTACTCCAGATTATTCTAGAGTTAAACACATTAATAACTATCATAAATGGCTTCCAAAATATAAAACAATTGATTTCAAAAAAGCTTATAGTGCTTTAAATGTTAAATTTAATTTACCTAATAATATTTTATATCCTTCTATCCCTGTGTCTTTAGATAAAAATATAACTATATACCCTCTTTCCGGTGAAACTACAATTACAGGATTAGAGTATTTATCAGCTAAAAATATTTTAAATGAAGCTCTTAAAACTATACCGGAAGATAAAAAAGGAAATTATTATATCGAAGTAAAACAAGGAGTAGTTATTCCATTCAAAACTAAAATAGTAGAAAAAGAAGAAATCTTGGATTACAAACCTTTTTATAATGTTATAAATGAATTACAAGCTAATAGAAGAATGCATCCAAAGAAAACAGCAATGGAACGTATATACAAAGACCTTGGTAATATGTTATACGGTAAAGTAGTTTGTGGTATATCTAACAAAAGATTTTTCGATGCTAGAACTTATTTAATGAAACCTATGACTGGAAATGAATTATCAAATCCTATCATTGCTGCTTGAATTACTGGCTTTGTACGTTCTCTATTAGGGGAATTATTAAACAAAGTCCATCAATTAGGTGGTAAAATATGTGGTGTAACTACAGATGGTTTTGTTTGTGACATTCCTGATTTGGAAGAAAAATTACTAGCATATGATAAAGAAAATGGAATAGAAAATTCTTTCCTTCAGGATTATAGAAATATTAGAGAAACTCTATCAACAGATCCTTCAGCTCTTGAAGTGAAAACTAATGTTAAAGGATTTATTCAGTGAACCACTCGTGGTCAACTCTCTTTAAATCATACGGATCCCGACTTAAATAACAATGAAATTCCTGTAGCGGCAATGACTGGTTTCCAAAAATATCATTTCAGTCAAGATCAAAACATTGATATGGTGAAAGAAGTTTTAGGTAAAGGTAATGTATTACAATTCTTACAGAAATCATTAACTGGAGCAACACTTTTATATAAAGAAGGTAAACAGGTAACAATGCTTTCATCTTTCAGGAAATTTAAAACTATCTTTGATGGAAAACGTGAAATTATAG